AATGTATTAGAAATTAGTCGCAAATGAGCAAACATCATGCATGGCTCCCTAAACCAATTAACATGTCAGATCTAATTTACTGTTAGACAAATAATTTGAAATATTTGCAAAAGAGCAGCATGAGAATTTATTCTCTGCAATTAGGCAGAGATTTCAGTAAATTCTTGATATTCCTTGAGGGAGCTCACAACCAAGAAAGAACCATCATGTTTTGCTGCCTCAGGTTGTGTGAGGAGAGGGACAATGCTGGGAAGCTTCACAGATTCCAAGCCTTAGTATTAGGAAACAAACATGTCATTGGGTTGATAAGCAAACTTAGCCAATCAAGAGAAGTATCTAATGTGGTCATAAAGCTCAGCAGAGAGAGAAGTTAAAAATCCTTTAAATGTAGGTTCTAGAGATGGCATAATGTTTTCCTGGGGTCTTAAATTAAGTTTCTTCTACTACAGGTACAGCCTATTTCTTTGAATCTTATGAAATGGAATGCCTAGGGAATCTACAATTTCACATTCAGTTCCTAAAAATATTAACCAAATTTCTCCTAGCATAAATAATACCAAACTCCTTTTACTTCCTTCACCAATGGTATTTACCAATGATTGGTATTTACTAATTATTTTATTATTTTGATGATAGAAGATCTGGAGATACATTATAGTCTGTATCTGTATGATTATAAGCTCTAGTCTTTCTGCTGTTGACCTGTATGTTTTCCTGGTCTGAACAGGTTGTCACCTAAAGGTCAAGTTTAAAAGGAACTGAAAGAACCATCATATACATAGATCTTTTTCTCACTATTCTCTTATAGTCTAAAATAGCCATTCTATTTATTTTAGGTAAAGCGTAAGAGTATCTTGTTAAAATGAAATTACTATCTAGAATGAGTTAAAAGCTCAGATATTACCCAGAAATTATCTATTATTTTGTTAATTAAAGACTTATGATTTAGAGGGTTTTTTTTTTTTACGATATTTAATTAACTCTCATCACATTGTTGGCTCTGAAAGTCTGGGACACTGAACAAGTATATTTTAAGGGAGGTCAGAGAAGATACAACATGCCCACATGGAAAATTCCTAGGAGGCTTGAATGAGTGTACCTGTACCTACTAGGTGCACTAATAGTACTGACCCAGAGGGAGACTAAAGACCAATGAAAAAGGAATGGTAAGTTTTTAAAAATAATCTCACTTACTTTATACTTTTGCCTAAAGTTGGTCATTGGTGCTACATATCCTTAACTGAAAGAGCAAATTACATATTATACACAGTGAAGATGGAATTAATTGTTCTCTGTGGTTTTCTTCACTTTAGTTCCAAGATTTTGAAAATTGTACAGGTAAAGCAAAGGGAGCCTGATGCTTTCCCCACTTATTTCTCTCTTCATCCGTTTCCTCCATCCCAAAGATTTCCTGTCGTCTCCACTTCCAATTCCACAATTCCCCTTACCAAACACACATGCTTTTTATAACTTTGTTTTCTCTGACACATGTTAATCTAGGAGATTCACATTTATTGTCAGAAAAATAGAATCTACCAACTCCAAAACCTGAAGCTCAAGACCCCACCCTGAAGAAAAAAGAACATACTTAAAAAAAAAAAAAAAAAGGACCCAGAACAGTATAAATTGGCATCACTCTAGTTTAAACTTCATCCTTTATGTTCCTACTCCTTTCTCTCCTTATTGACAGCCATAAATAGTCACAGAGAGCAGGGTTTTTAGAATGAGTTGGACCATAAAACCAGCAGTTTCAAAGGTAAAGGAAGGAACATTTCAAAGCAAACATAGTAAGCTCCCTGTTTCCTATTCTTCAGTCATTTAAGACAATTAGACCCAGGAATCTAAGCCGCAGTCACGTGCTTAACCCAAGGTTCTATTATTGTGTACTTAGCAGGGCCACTCATTAACTCGCCTTCCGCTGACCCCTATGGGGAGGGCTGTGAGGCTGACACTTTGCAGTTCCTTGTTCCCTGATGAAAGTTCACCTCATGCATTTCGTTAACTACTCCAAAGAATGACACATGAAACAATGATCAGATATACTCAGAATAAAAGCCAAATACGATGTGTTCTTTTTTTTTTTAAGATTTTATTTATTTATTTGGCAGACAGATCACAAGTAGGCAGAGCAGCAGGCAGAGAGAGAGGGGGGAAGCAGGCTCCCCGCTGAGCAGAGAGCCCGATGTTGGCCCAATCCCAGGACTGCGGGATCAGGACCTGAGCCGAAGGCAGAGGCTTAACCCACTGAGCCACCCACGCGCCCCATGTTCTAAATAATGTTGGACTGTTAATGTCAACATTACCCTGAACTTGCTGAGCTCAGTGAGTGCTTGTGATACTTTCTCCATTGTCTTCTTTGCATTATTTACACTTTATCAAGCATCAAGGCAGTGCTAGCTATGAGTAGACCCTTACATGGAACTGAGTGGCAACCATATAAGAAACTGACATTATTTTAGCATGAAAAATATTTAATAACTAGTTAATGGCCAATAAAGGAAACCATAGATAGAACAAATAAATCATATTGTATCGAAAGATGTACTTTTAAACAATCATTTCTTATTGGTTTTCTTTCACAAATTTAATCTGGAGGGAGAAAAAAAAAGAAGCCTCAGTGACCATCACCAATTTAGTGGATGTCTAATAATGAGAAAAAATTATCCGAAGCAGTAGGCCTCTGTTCCTTCCCCTGCATTTAAGTGTACAGGGGTTTTAGTTTTACTAGACTAAAGACAGTTTAAGTACGGACATTCCACACTCCCATTTGTTCTGCCAACAGCATAGAGTCATTTTTTAACTTTTTCTCTCAGGCCAGATCCAGTTCATCAAGAGAGTCTGTTGGTTCCATCTTTAGAGTATATCCATAATGTGGATATAATATGGATATATTGTGGATATAAATGTGTTATATCCATGTATGGTTATGCATGGATATGCATGGATATAATGTAGATATATTCTGAACCTGGATTTCTATTTTAATATAGTTGGCTGCCTTTGTAAAAACATTATTCAGAGGAATAGTCCACAGGCTTCACCAGACGGCCCAAGAGATTGACAGCACAAAACATTTTAAGATCCTCTGATTTAGAAGGTCTGGAGTCAGTTTCTACGTTGGACCCTACAGAAAGTTAATGTTCAGACAATAATGATCACCACCTCAGCTATGAAGGAAGACCTTTGTTTTATCAGGGTATGAGTCCTACATTTTAATTCAAACAATCTCAATCTATTTCACCACTTCCCTAAGACTTTCTTTCTTTGCTCTACATTTTTAAATATCCTTAAAATCATTTCTCATTCTGAAAGTTTTCTGGAGCATTATTCATTTTTAATATAGTTAAGACCCTAATCTCAGAACATACGCAAGAACCCGGAACAAACCTTGAATCCAATGCAACTACTTAAATAAAAGGAAAGTAGACATACAATCCCAAGCAAGGAAACTACCCAAAGGTCCCTAATGCTCATAGCTTCAAAGTTGGAAAGAAAATTAAGGTGATTTTGTATACCTTTTGCAGGGGGCCAATCACCAGATTTACTGTGTGTATGTGTGTGTGTGAAAACCTTCTACAAGGGGTGTCTGACCACTCACTATAGCTATAGAGAACACTGTTAACATTCCTTACCAGATATGAACTTCCTATGGCCCATCAATATTCAAAGAAACCTGAAATTTCCTTCAGAAATTTTTGTAAAGCTACTAAAACCAGGGCCTGTATTCTGTGTGTGTGTGTGTGTGTTGTGTTAACCTTTTTCAGTCCTAGCTTGTTTCTCCACAGAAGCTTATTTCTCTCATCCCTGTCCTCCTTTTTAATTCTGGTGGTATGTTTTTTTGCAGCTTGCTTCCTTACAACTGCTTAAGGGGTCTATGAGTTCAATCTCTTCAGTTTAAATTCTACTTGTAACATGTATTTTCTACATTTAACTCTTTCCCATATTTTATTTTAAGATTTTATTATTTATTTGACAGAGAAATCACAAGTAGGCAGAGAGGCAGGCAGAGAGAGAGAGGAGGAAGCAGGATCCCCACCAAGCAGAGAGCCTGACGCAGGGCTCGATCCCAGGACCCTGAGATCATGGCCTGAGACGTAGGCAGAGGCTTGACCCACTGAGCCATCCAGGCGCCCCTCCCATATTTTTTGAGCAACATTCAGCAGGTTTACATGGTGTACATTTGTATGTACATGGTTTTTTGTATGTATGTACATGTGTGTTTACATGGGTACATTTGTATGTATGAGCTTTAAGGAACTTAGATCTCTGAATAATTCCTAGGTTATGATGCTACAGTTTAGATGCTGCAACTTGGAAAATCATTTCTTGGCCCCCTACAGTGTGTGAGCAGGAAGACTGGTGCTTTATCTTTTCCATCATGTGTTTAATCATATAAAAAGTTTCAGTACCATTAGGTAGCTTTGATTTTAAGTAGATCCAATTTAGGCATGCATAGATATGACATATTTTAAATGGAAAATTTAAGTAGAGGCTGTGGCCACATATATGATGAAGATGGCTAAAATTTTTCATTCTAACCTTTTGTGTTCAGTTAATGACAAACTCTATAAAGAGCTCTAAATTGAAGAAAGATCTTCCTTGTCCTTTTCTTGGCTAAAGATGATGATATTTTGAGTTCTTCCTGGGTGTATTTTGTTCTCTTTGTTAGAGAACACTACTTTCCAGAGATACAGGGAAATTAAAACTGATTATATATATATATATATATATATAGAATTGAATAAGGAGAAAAGGACTACATTGAAGCTTACATCTCTATATATCTATATACAGATATAGATATAGATATAAAGAAAAAGAAAAAAGTATATGTGTGAAAAATTTCAAGTTAAAAAGTTACTATGGAATATGTTGTACTAAGCATCTAGTTGAAATGATAAAAGAAAAAAAAAAAACAGAAAAAACGTTGAGAAAGAATTAAAAAAAAGAAAAGAAAAGTCAAATCAAAGAAATAAAAAGGCCATGAGGCAATACCAGGAACTTAATATACTATTTTCCTCTGGTGTTGGGGTTGTACAGTTTTATGGGGACGCTTGGGTTGTTGTCCTCTTGTTCTTCCAGCTTGTCTTCCGGGGAGAGGGGCCTGATGTATTATTTCTGAAAAATTTGATAAAAATTTTGAAAATTTTGATAAAAATTAATTCAGCAAATCTTACAACTGAAGAGAAGCAAAAGCCCATCTTCTGATAGTAAACTCAAGAGCCAGTCAAATGTCAACTGCTAAAAATCAAATGTCAGAATTGGTAGCCATTACTGAAAACATGGCACTTTAACTAGCTGTCAGGAACAGGACTCTTAGCAGTGACTGTGGACTTCTGGGTACAGGAAAGCACACCCCAGAAATCAGAGAAGTAGATGTGCGTTTCTCCTTCTGCAAAGGACAGACTTGCTCAAAAACCACATACCTCTGGGCCCTTTGGTTTCCTCCTTAGAATGGACCATTTTCAGGGCCCATAAACATGGTGGGCTCCCTGTCATCAAGAGTGTGTGCAGCAAATTCTGAAACCTAACACCAGTACCACACACAAACACACACACACACACACATGCCCCCAGTCAACATATGCTCTTGTTACTAACTAGATGCAACTTGTTAACTTGTCCTGGACTGTTTTTCTTATTTTTCTCTGAGTACAGTTAGTGTTTTCGGCTTTTGTGTAGTTCAAGTTCAGACTTTCCTTGCTAAACCTCAAACCCATTTGTTAATTTCAAGTGGAACAGCTCTCTCTGCGGGTCCCCAAAGTCAACTCTGTTTTTCTCTCTCTCAATTCTTGATTCCCTTGATTCTCCCCAAACCAATTTTAATCAAGTTTCCCTGCTCTAATTTTTTAAAATAGTATCTCAAATAGCAACACTCTTTGGCAAATCTGGCAGAGTAATCTAGTTTGTCCTTGGATGATTCTTTGCTCTTCTTATTTCTACCTTAAAACAAAACAAAACAAAACTCACGTTAAAATAAATTGGTTCTGAAAAGGATATTAATCTCTTTCTTCTAGAGCCAGTCACATTTTCATTTTCCCTATATCTTACTTTGGTTTTACAGTTTTTGTAAAAAAGACCAAATACAGATTTTTCAGCTTCATTGTCTTTAAGGCCCAGTTAAATTACTGCTATTTTTCTCATACCCAAAGAGTATTACTTTAATTCACCTAGAATAAGGGCCAATGTGTTCATCAGGTTGCACTACATATGTTCTTAGAAGCTGAAAATGAGGGTGCCCAGGTGGCTCAGTCACTTAAGTGTCTGCCTTTGGCTCAGGTCATGATTCTGGGGTCCTGGGATCAAGTCCTGCATCAGGCTCTCTGTTCAGCTGGGAGTCTGCTTCTCCTTCCCCTACTCCCCCTTTCTCTCACATGCACTCTGTCTTTGTCTCTTTCAAATAAATAAAATCTTTTTTAAAAAGTTGAAAATGCACTTATAGTTTTGAAAACTAGTCACAGTGTACTTAAAAAACTCATCAAAGCTGCTTTAAGTTTGAATTTTACCACAATTTATCTTCATTGTGAATATTAATATTAATACACTTGATTATTATAAAGCAGGGCCCAGCTGTACTTAATTTATAAGTACTTTCTGACACTAAAGATAAAGGCATCACTTCCTACTTTGACTCTGCTCTGCTCACTTTGTAAGCTAAGGATTCCCAAATGTTTTCATCTCAGGATTCCCTAAAATTCTTAAAAATTATGGAGGATCCCAAAGACCTTTTCTTAAAACTCAAAAAATCTAAAAGCATGTATTTACAAATAGCCTAAAATAATAGTAAAAATAATAAACCTAAAATAATAAAATAATAAATAATAATAAACCACATGTTAATACAAACATATTTTATGAAATATCACTACGTTTTCCAAAATATTACTTAAAAATTAATAAGAAGATAGGCACTGTTTTACATTTTTGCAAATTCCTTAATCTTTTTAATATCTGTTAATAAAAGATAGCTGGAATCTAATATCTGCTTCTAATCTGTTAAATTAATAAATTAATTAAAATTATTAATGAACTCATTAAAATCAATTTTAAAAATCTGTGGAACACTTCATATTGCTTTTGGAAAACTCTACTGCACATATGTAAGAGGATAAGAGTAGAAAAGACAAATAATTTACAAAATCATAGGTTTGACCATGAGGACCTCCTGACAGGGTCTTGGGGCTCTTCCAAGAGCCCCCACATAACACTTCGAAAACTGCTATTTGTTCTAATTAGAAGTAAAGTCTAAATAGAATGGGAGAAAGTAGTGCAAATTGTCATTACAGAACAGCTTACTGTAGCTAACTGAGAGATGAAAAAATTATATTAAGGATGGAACAAATTTGGTGGCGATTAACTGGCAGAGTCATGCTGAGATATTTTTCTTGGGCTCAGTTATAAACAGGGTTGGAAGACTTATTCGATGTAAGGGATGGCTGGTATGGGGTGGTGGGATGCCTTAGGAAGCTGAAGCCTGTCCTTTCTTGTTTCTCTGCATTTCTGTGAGGAAAGACCACCACCTTCTACTGATCAAGGCTATCCTGTCTGAAAGGGTTCCATTTTACCAGATCATAGTACTAGATTATTTTCTTAAAAATATGATGCTCCTTTTTTTTCTTAAGGATATGATGATACTGGTCAGCACCAAGCACTACTCTGCCCTTTGTTCCAGACCATGGTGGGAAAAAATACTTCTCTTGCATAGTAAACACAAAAATCAAAGTAACAACACAGAGTGAAGCAAGCAAGGCAATACACTGACACAAAAAGCCCTTTTATAACCTTCTTGTAGAAGAGAAAACTCGGGAGCATCATTAAGTTTCATTAATTTCCATTCAACAAATTCCAGCTTGACATCATAATTTTCTATTGCCTTATTTCTCCAGTTGCTGCTTTGTTTTTCACTATGGAAACAGAAAACACCTAAATAAACCTAAGTGCAACAGAAATCAGATGTTTTCCTGCAACGATGTACCGTGGCCTTTCTCTCACCCTTTGATCTTTCTCCTTGTAGGCTTCTGATTTCACGGAGGACACCACCAGTGGGGAGAGTGAAACTTTCCAAATTTGGAGATGAAGGGAGGACCTCAATTGTAGAGCAGGTCCTGCTTGGGGCAAATGGGCACACCTCCCTTTCCACAGCTACTCAAAAGTCACAGGAAACATACGACATGCCCTACGAAGTCCCCTCGGTAGGCCTGGATTTTTAATAATGTATTTAGAAATGAGTTTCTCCACTGACAGGATTACACAGAGACATTTTTTTCCTACAGTCCTCATAAAGTGAGGAGCAGTAGTTACTTAAAATGTTTAATCATTAAAATCATGTATGCATGTGTGTGTGGTGTGTGAAAAAGAAAGAGACCGTGAGAAAGAGAAGAAAGAAGGATGATTTTGTTGCCAGGATTAAGAAGCTATGTCGAAAAAGATTGACTGGACTAACTTGCCAATGCCATATATGGCCTGGGCTAAGAAAAGCCAATCTTTTGTTGAATCGCCTAATGTAATAAATTGCATTTGGAGGGCTACAGACTTCTGTACAAACTTTTCAACGAGATCTAATTGGAAGTGTTACTCACATAGCCAGGAGCATTCTGAAAAAAGAGCGCAGTAGATTAACACCATTTTTAAAAGTCAGGAAGTCCTTTCTTCCCACGAAGGAGGGTTTTCCAGACATTATCTTCAACTTTCAAATATTATAAAGAAGGTTTCCAGCTCTCTCTTTCTCCCTTAAGCCTATAGTCTTCCTCCCTCTTTTGACCCTCCCTCCCTCTCTTCTTCCCCCCTCCTTCTTTCTCTCCATCCCTGCCAGTCCTCCACACCACTCAAGCCATGAGTGAGAGCTGTATGGGAAGCAAGACTTATATAGTAAATGACTTATCAATTAGCTGTGTCCTAGATATTGTTGATGAAGGAAGTAGGGATTTCCTTCAACTGGTTTCTTATTCAATTGATTCCCAGTTGAATAAGAAACATTCAAACATGTGTCTGAAGCTTTTGTTAAAACTAGATAGTTAGAGGCAAGGATTACCGTATATACGACTACAAAAATTTATCTTTTCATCCTTTCTCCTAACCTACGAAATTTCCTTATGTAGCAACATTCGATTTGCCAATCTATATGTCTCATCTGAATAATTAGCAAGTAGACATAACCAAACTCAAAATGACCACCTTAGAAAGAGATATTTAAATGAAGGAGAGCAAAAACTTCTCCAAACTTTCTTCTTATTCTCCCTCATTCCCACCCACCACTACATCCTCGCCAGATACTGGAGTGGATCCAACAAGTGTCTTATGATAATAAGAGCCAGGGTAAGACCTCAGCAGTTTCAAGTTAACAAAGTAAAGTTTGAAAATGAGAAGTAATACATAAAAGCAAAAGTCTGTCTTCCAGCATTTGTGTTTTCTCTTCATGATATTTGCATCATGTGCAGAGGATTTACAACATAGAAACCTGAATATTTTGATTAATCACAGAAAATATAAGAGATGGAAGAGCTTGCCAGAGGAAAACTGAATACACGAAACATTCAAAATGTGTGGCTCAAAACCCCAAATATTGATGTATCCTCAATATTCTTAGCACGTATAGATTTTGAATGAACATTTTATTTTCTTGTCAGTGATTCAGAATATCCACTGCTTCTGTTGAGCAATGAGGGAAAATCATGCCAACTGGGAGAAAGCTTTATTTTAAGGTCGAAGGCATGAAATAAGCACTAAGAAGACAATTGTACACCTGTTTTCAAGAGTAAAAAGGCATCTCAAATCTGCTTTGCTTTTGAAAATTTGGCCAAGGAGTGTATTTCAAAGGCCCAATAGCCCATAACATTATTCCCAGGGCTCTGTGCTCTCTGCCTAATTGGGAGTCTACACATTTGCATAAGCATGATACTTCATGATTAATGCATAAGACCCAGCATGGAGCCCAGTATCAATCCGTCTGTGGAGGCTTTTCCCCCCACTGAAAACAATCATTGTTCCTAAAATATAATCCATCAAATCTGTAGGTATGACTACTCTGTAGAATATCAGCCTACTTAAATGCCATGACAAAACCTTTAGAGAATTGTACACCTCTTCTATGTAAGAAAGATGTTTTATTTTAAGATGCCCATGCCACTGCTGCCTTGGGACCATCATCATTGCCAGGAAAGGTGTATTTGCAAAACCAAGTGTCAGGCCCACAGATTTTTTCCTGTTTGGCCCAGGCAATAAATATAAAGGGAAGACTATTAAAATAAACACCTTATGATCACTTTTGGATTATGAAATAAACAATAGCTCTTCCCCCTTGGTATCTTCAAACACCAACCAACAGCAGTGATGACTTCTAGCGTGAGGACTCCACAATGGTGAGGGGAAACTTAGTCAACAATGCTAGAAGGCGAACGGGTTGCACTTCAAAAATGAAGTCAATTTTCTATTTGATGGACTACCTCCCAGTTAAGAAATAGAACTCCTGGGATACATCTAGGTGTTCCAAATGGTGTTGCCAATAACTTCCCTGCAGGCTGGGTCACTTAATTAAGCAGGAACCCATTCCCATGGGAGGAAGTGGAAATGTGAAGTTCGCCAACAGATCCCAATATGCTCTGGGAATCAATGTAAATGACCTTTTGAGAGACTTCTTTCTAAAAACATCTGAGATGGAGTTTTTTAATTATTAAAAATTAATATATGATTATAAGAAGAAATAAGCAATTTAGAATTCTATGAAATTACGAGAAATATTCTGACATCTCCCTCTTTTCCCATGCAACTTCCCAGTGATGATCTCTTGAATGAATTATGTATTCTTCTAGATGTTTTATTTTATAGGCACATGAATGTGTTTGTGTGTATGTCTGTCTGTGTGTGTGTATCTTGACACTTTGGGGTAACACTATATTATGCATACTTAATGTGACTTGTTTTTCTGCTTCACGCTTATTCATGAACTTTCCCAAAAAGTACACTCATGTTTATCTCATTCTCTTTAATAATTTCATGGTATCATGTTGTATGGATTACCAACACACAAAAATTCTCCTAACATCAAGTTTGTTTGTTTGTTTTAAATCACTACAAGCAATGTTATATTTTGGATAGCAGAAACCTTACGGACAAAGACTTTCTTGATCACTGCTGTATCCCTGGTAGTGAACACAGAGAACAGCACATAGTAAGTGTTCAATAGATTATGTGTTTAATATATAAATGAAATATGCAGGGAAATCTCCATTGTTCCTTTATGGGATATATGAATTTAAGGTGTGTATCAAAACTGCCTGTTTACCTCCAAAAACATTGTACCATTTTATACTTATACCAAGTGTATTGGTCACTGTATTCTATTTACCAACAATGGGATTATAGACTGGATTCATTTTTCCTAATGTGATTAATGATTCAAGTGTGTTTCATTATTTCCAATTGCATTTCATTATTTTTTTTAGATTATTTATTTATTTATTTATTTGACAGAGATCACAAGTAGGCAGAGAAGCAGGCAGAGAGAGAGGAGGAAGCAGGCTCCCTGTTGAGCAGAGAGCCCAATGCGGGACTCGATCCCAAGACCCTGGGATCATGACCTGAGCCGAAGGCAGAGACTTTAACCCACTGAGCCACCCAGGCGCCGCTGCATTTCATTAATTTTGAAGAATTAATTAACTTTAGGACTATTTTAACTTTAGGACTATTCCTAAAGTTATTAACCATTTATATTTTTCCCTTTGACTATTCATATCCTTTGACCATTTTTCTGTTAGATTGTTGGTTAATCTTTTTCACATTGATTTTAATGAGCTTTTCTGTCTGTTGAAAGATTCAATCCTTCTGCTTGATACATTTTATAACTATTTTTTAATCTGTGAAAAAAAATTTGTCATTTGACTCTATTCATCCATCCATCCATCCATCCATTAATCTTACCTAACAGAAAAAATTTTAATACTTGTGCTCAAAATATATCAGTTATTTTTCTTTATAGTTGCTGGGTTTATGCTTAAAAGAGCTTTTTCTTCATTCAAAGTATAAAAACAAACTTACTCATATGCCCTTTTAATATTTGTAATTTTCACTTACACATTACTTTTTTTTTTAACTAATTTGGAATTTATTTTGATATAATGAGAGAAGGGGGATCAGGATTCATTTAAATTTGTGTCATTCAAGTTAGCTAATTATCCTATTAGTATATATTAAGAAGTGCATACTTTCAAAGATTTGAAAAGTCATCTGCATCATAGGCTGACTCTCCTAGGTACATGAGTTTATTTTGAACTTCCTGCTCTGGTTCATGGTCATCAGCTTTATTCCTGCATCAGTGCCATACTGTTTTAATTACTGTTGCATTCATGGTACATTTTATTCTTGGATACCGTTAGACCCTCACATTTCTTTTTTGTTCTCAGTATTCACCCAAACTTATATTCACCAAAATTTGTATTTTAGAATTATTTTATCAGAATCAAAAAGTAAAAAATTAAAATTAAACATTTCAGTATTTTGATGAGAATGTACACATGGTTTTAGCAGATTATTTTACAAAGGATTGATATCTCTGTAACATGAAGCTTGCTAACCAAAATATAAGATGCCTCTTTTCATGTCTTCAGTCTGCTTTTTTTTTTTTTTAAGATTTTCTTTATTTATTTGAGAGAGAGAGAAAGGGAACACAAGTAGAGGGAGCAGCAGAGGGAGAGGGAGAAGCAGGCTCCTTACTGAGCAGGGAACCCCGCCCAAGGCGGGGCTCCATCCCAGGAACCCCGGAATCATGACCCAAGGGAGCGGAAGGCAGATGCTTAATGACTGAGCCACCCAGGCTCCCCTTCAGTCCTCTTTCTACGCCCTGGTCAGTGTTCTAAAGTTCTCTTCATGCAGGTTTGCGCATTTTCAAAAGCTTTTCTCTGGCTTTATTTTTTTCCTTGCTTTTGTAATGAAGATATTTTCTTTCATATCAGTTATTGTTTTTAAAACCAAAAGCTAATTATTTTATAGATTAATTTTGTAACCAGGCACTTTATTAAATATTCATATTGTGTCTAATAGCTTTTCAGCTGATTCTTTGGGGCTATATAAGTACATTACCATGAGAAACAAATTTGTCTCCCTCTTTCGAAAATTTATACCTGTTATTTCATTCCCTTGTCCTCCTTCGACATATTGATATGGTAAATGACTTTGAGATGAGCCCCAGTTATTCATGATTTATTACTTATAGAAGTATTCATTAAACTGTTTTTATTTTAATATTTTATATAACATTTTCTTTAGAAGTTTTACACTAACATTCATTAATAAGATCAGTTTGACATTTCCTTTTTATGTTGTGTTTGTCAGATTATGGGATCAATTTGAGCAGGCTTTATAAAAACAACTCAAATGCTTACCTTCTGTATCCGTCAGATTCCAGTAAGAAGCATGGGAAGCATTCAGGATATTTCCAGCAGAGAGGGAGTTGAAATAGGAAGTCCAGTCTCAAGACGTTTGGTAGGGCTGGAAGAGCAAGATGTCACCCTGAGATCAGGACCTACAGGAAGCAGCTGCAGGCCTGGAAGAAGTAACCACATAGTCATTGTGGCCACTGCTGCCTTTGGACCATCACCACCCCCATCACAGCTACTCAGGAGCCCGCTCACACCAGCCCCGGACCGGCCACCACTGCCAGAAGGAGAACTTGGCTTCTCCATTCCTCCCCCTTCCTAATCTTACATTAGTGCCTCCAGCTGGCAGAATTAACCAGAACCCTGCTAGCAAGAGCTTCCAGATCCTCGAAATACAGAAGAGAATACAGATGGTCAGTTAAGAGGCTGGATACAAATAAATAATAGCTGGCATACCCTTTTCTCAATTTTCTCGGACTATGTAGATAACATTGGATATTATCTATTTCGTGAAGTTTTGAAAAAATCAACTGTGAAACCATTTGGACTGGTGCTGTTGTAGGAAATTTGATAGTCTTAGTTCCCTCCCATGGAGAGATTTTTGTCTGCCTCTTTTCATGATAAATTTAGTAAATTATGTTTTCTTACAAAATTGTCCATTTCGGTAGGTTTTCACACTTATTTGCATAGATCTGTGCTTTATAATATATGTTGTGTTTTTCTGCATCAGGGGTTATTTCTCTTTCCTTATTTTTTTATAGTATGCAGATGAATGCTCAGTCTCTCTACCACCTTGCCCGGCCCCCATGCCCTAACCCTCCGAATTTTTTAATATGTTATGGTACTTGCAGATAGGATAAGGCTATAGACCTTGAGAAGGGGAGAGTTTCTTGGATTATCCTGGGGGACACAATCAAAGCATGGAAACCCTTAAAAGCACAGAACTTTCTCCAACTGGAGTCAGAAAATATGGTAGAATGAATGTGCCGTGAAGAACATGGGCAAGATTAGAAGTATGAGAAGGATTTGACACACAGCTGCTGGTTTGAAGGAGCTGAGAGAGGCTCCTCACTGAAAGCCAGCAAGGAAGCAGTAACCTCAGCCCTACAACCACAAGGAAGTGAGCTTTGCCAACGCTTAAATGAGCTTCGAAAGCAGACTCTTCCCCAGCACCTCAGAATGAGAGCTCAGGTTGATACCTTCATTTCATCCCTTCAGCCCTGGGCCAGAGGAACCTGATGATCATCCAAGCCCAGCTACACTTCTGACCTACAGAATTGTGAGATAATAAGTTTGTGTTGTTTTAAGCCACTTTGTGGTAATTTGGGACACCTGGGTGGCTCAGTTGATTAAACAGCTGTCTTCAACTCAGGTGATGATCCCAAGGTCCTGGAATCCAGTCCTGCAACAGGCTCCTGGCTCAGTGGGGAGTCTGCTTCTCCCTCTCCCTCTGCTGCTTCTGCCAAATAAAGAAATAAATCTTAAAAAAAAAAGAGAGAGAGAGAGAGAACAAACAAAAAATCCTGTGGTAATTTGGAAAAGCAGCAACCAAAAATGGATATATTCCTAATTGTATATATATTTGTGTTTCTTCTATTTTGTTTCTTTATTATTTTAGACAGCTTTATCTAGTTTATGGTTTGGTTTTGATTTTTCAAAGATGCAACTCCTATATTTATTCATTGATTCTGCCACTATTTTTTCCAGCTCAGTAATTTCGGAGAAACTGATTCAACCTTTGCTTTGCATACAAATAGAATCATATCCTATGTATCCTGCCATGATTTGCTTTGTTCCCCTCAAAATTGTGTTCCTGAGATTTTTTCCATGTTCTTATAGTAGAGGCAGTTTCTTCCTTTACAAGGTTTCTAGCATTCATGGAATGCATCCACAAAGAATTCATCCATTATCTACCTGAGCGGTATTTGGTATTTCCAGTGTCTGTGTGTCCATTTGCTTTTACTTCTAGAAAATGTGCTGCTGCAAGCATTCTTATATCATGTCCTGGGGCTGAGGTACATCATCTTCTCTAGGGCGTATCAAAGAAGCAGGGTAGCTGGGATTATTTATGAGATAATACAAACTGTTTTCCAAGATGGCTGTACAAATTTATATTTCCACCAGCAATGCCAAAGAGTTCTGATTACTGTAAACCTTTGCCAACACTATCTTTAAGGCGTCTTTTGATAAACAGCAGTCCCTGGTTTTACATGAGTCAAATTTATCCAAGTTTTTCCCTGTATGTTGTACCCTCTTTTTATGTCTTAAGAACTCCTTCTTTACCTAAGATATTGTAATTTTTTTCTTATTTCTTTTTTCTTTTTAAGATTTTATTTGGCAGAGAGAGACAGCGAGAGAGGGAAAAATCAGTGTGTACACACATACATGTGCACAAACCCATTCAGGCAAACTTCAGACTTTTGGTAGAATAACCTTAAATCTATGGGTCAAATTGATTATTTATCCTTGAGGGAGATTTCCATTTTCTGATTTTAAAACCAAGGCTTTTTTTTTTTTTTTTTTTGTAGGGGAAGGGGCTTGATATCCAATCATCTTTCCCAGGATGTGTGTTTACATGTTTTTTGACAACAGTTTTTCCTGGTATAGAGGGCCACATTTTTGATGTACAGGATCATATTTTCTTTCATTTCAGGGGAGTTTTCTATCACATCTTTGAAAATAGATCATTTTCTTCCTATATTATTCTCTACTTCAGGGAACACCAATTATCGACACATGTAATCTCCAATTTCTGGCTTCATATATATTACAGCCTCTTTTGACATCATTTCTTCATCTTCTCTGCTCTATTTTGCTCATTTTCCTAAGAATCTCCCCATGTTACTGATTAGATTGGTACCCATGTTGATTCTCTACTGCTCTATTTCTAATTTATAAATTAATCCCATAATGTAGCTATTTTTACTGAAGGTCTTTTTTTAAATTGGCTTAGCAATATCCTCTTTTAATTTACACTATCTTTTTATTCTTTTCCTTTGTGTATTTAATCACCTTAAATCTGACAGTTCCCAGCATTTCCTATAGAAAATGTTCTTCTTTCATATACACATGTTCTTCTGGAATGGTCACTTTACCTGCAATAATTATATATTTTCTCTTTTTTTCTAGGCTTTTTTCTTTAAAGACCTTATTTATTTATTTGAGAGAAAGAGCACAAGACGGGGGGAGAAGGGGTTGGGCAGAGGAAGAAGCAGAAGAAGCAGGCTCCCCGCTGAGTGGGGAGCCCAGCATGGGACTGATCCCAGGACGGTGGAGATCATGACCTGAGCCCTGAGCAGTGGGCAGATACTCAACCAACTGAGCCACCCAGGTGCCCTGGCCTTTTTTTTTTTTTTTTAAATAGTTGCATGTTTCTTTCACCGTGCACATATTTATTCAAAACTTCCATAGTAGCTGTTGATTATGCTTCCCCAACACCTCCTACGCTGCTTTTGGGATGTGTAGTGCTCTGCTCTATGAGGGGGCTGTGGTTGTTTTAAACCAATTAGAGCCTTCCTATGTCATCTGTCAGAGTTATTGGTCATAGGCATATGTCCGGTAATTGACACTGAACCCAATCTGTGCCAGTTTGTTCTGAGAAAAATGTTTCCTGGAGGCTTCATCTCTAGAACGTTTCTCACAATTCTGAGAAAGCTACTAGTCCACAGCCATATCTTTTCTTCTAAAGAATTGTGTGTATGTGAAGTCTGGAATTAATGAAGCCATTTTGCTGCTATGAGGGAAGATTTACAGCTGACACTCCGAAAGTGAAACTGTCTTTGATGACAGAGTTGCACCCCAAAAACAAATCCAGAAACCTAGCCCATCATCTATGGATTTTACAGCTAATAAGCCAATAAATTATTTTGATTGCTTCAGTCTGTTAGAAATAGGGTTTCTGTCATTTACAACACAAAGTGTCCAAACTGATGTAATGGTTCCTCGTAGGGATGTGGGTAAATTGTCCTCACAGCAATCCCCACCTTCTCTTGGTCCTGTCTATACGCTGCTATTATCAGGGGCTCTAAATGAAGGTTTGTGTCCTATACACCACTTTGTATTATGTTTTTAAAAATACTGGACCCGTTTTTTGTGTGTATGTGTGCATGCATGTTTTTACTGAATATTATCTATCCTGTATGAAAATGTGTAGTCTTAAGATAGTATCATCTGTCATCTTCCCCACTCAGCTAGAGAAAAAAAAACAAAAATGCCTTCATCTAATCCACAGCTGAGCTGAGCTGAGACTGGATTTCAATTTTAGTAAGCTTCAATTTACTCTCTTCCCTCTGCCCCCACTGTTCTGGAGTACAGCCTCCGAGAGATCCTGACCGAAAGCCTGGGATTAGGGCCCTTCTTCAACATATCCTAAACCCTATTTTATTCCTTCTCCTTGAGGTTATGAAGATGCCAACAACTCCACATTAACTGTCAGTACATTTTTGCTTTGCTTCTTAAGTTCTAACCCTGAGCAACTTAAGAATTTAGCAAGTTCCTGGGGCACCTGGGTGGCTCAGTCAGTTAAGCATCCAACACTTGATTTTGGCTCAGGTCATGATCTCAGGGTCAGGAGATCTGGCTCTGAGTCAGGCTCCACACTTAGTGGGGACTCTGCTTGAGATTCTCTCCCTCTACCACTGCCCGTCCCCCTGCTTTCTTTCTCTCAATAAATAAATAAATAAATCTTTCTTTTGTGTGTGTGTGTGTGTGTGTGTGTGTGTGTGTGTGTTTCTTTTTGAGATTTTAACACGTTCCAAAAACAAACAAAAAACTGAGAATCAGGCTTACTTCTTTGTGCTTTTCTTTACTTCAGGAACTTGGACCTTCAAGTCCTGGCTGCTCTAACAGCCCTGAAATCTAAGCTTTGCCTCTCCAGCCCCACATGATTGCCAAAGCTTTGCCAGCTCCTGTGTCTCATAGTAAGAGCTGCCCCAGATTCTCAAGCACAGAACTCACAGCAAGAATCAGCTGATTTCCGGAAGGGACAAATGAAGTATAAGATGCTATTCCCTCTCTCCCTAATCATGAACCTCAAATACCAGCTGGTTCTCACCACCTCCTTCAAACAATTATTTATTGTATTGTATCTGATTTTCTAGTTACTCTCAGTGGGAATGTTTGGTTGATGCCAGCAGCCCTATCATACCTGGAAGTGCAAGACCCAACTCTAAACTTCTCAGAACCTCTACTTTTTTTTGCCTCATTTACTTTTCTAGACTTATCTCTCACTACTCTTGGCTTCAGCAGCATACCTAAAAATTGTAGAACACATAATCATACAAGTTTAGAACTAAAAGAAAATGATTATCTGACTCAAGTCTCTTATTTTCCAAATGAGGAAGCTTGAGGCCCCAAAAGATTGTGTGTTTTAACTCAGACCACATCGTACTCACTTACTTACTGAAAAGTAAGCTGCTTCTTACACCAAGAGCGAGGGAAACTGGAAGACATCTCTAAACCACCTTCCAACCTATTTTAGTCAAAGAAATCTGTATATCTCATATTTGATAGCCAAGCCTGTAGGGGGTCAAGATGGTCATATAATTTATTGTCTAAATGGGACAGTTTTTGAGAGAGATAGTGGACGCTATTAATAATTACAGCAGGACAACAAGCATATACCTATCCAGATCTGGGCACCCTCATCACCAGATAATTTATTCCTGACTTACAAAACCAATTCTTTTTCTTTTCTTTTCTTTTTTTTAAGATTTTATTTATTTAGTTAGTTTAGAGAGGAAGAAAGAGAGAGAAAGTGGTGGAGGGGGGCAGCACAGGGAGATGGTGAAGAGAATCTCAAGCAGATTCCCCACTGAGCATGCAGTCCAACACGGGGCTCAATCTCATGACCCCAAGATCATGACTTGAGCTGAAATCAAGAGTTGAATGTTTCACCCACCGAGCTGTCCAAGTACCCCAAAACCAGATCTTTTCTAATACTTCCTTCAGGGTTCTAATCACTTTCATATGTGGAGAAGAAGTAAGTATTCCTTGTCAGAGAATGCATTCCTTTAAATTAATAGAGTTTACTTTTTTAGAGAAGTTTTATGTTACAGAAAAAAATGAGCAGAAAGTACACAGAGTTCCAGTACACTCCCTGATCCTCCAATTTGTTTTCCCCTATTATTAACATCATGCACCAGTGTGGTGCATTTGTTATCATTGTTGAGCCAATAAGGATACATTTTTAATTAAAGTCCGTAGTTGACATTGTAATTTACTGCTTGTGTTTGTACGTTCTATGAGTTTTGATAAATGTATAATGTCATTTATCAAGCATTGCAGTACCACACAGAAGAGTTTCACTGACCTAAAAATCCCGTGTTCCGTCTATTCATCCTCCCTCCCTCCCTCCCACTAAGCCCCTGGCAACCCCTAATGTTTTTACTGTCTCCACAGTTTTGCTTTTTCCAGAATGTCATATAGTTGGAATTATATAGTATGTAGCCTTTTCAAATTGGCTTTTTTCCAGTCATTTGTTTTTCAAATTTTAAATCTTTGGTGTTAAGTGGAATCTCATCATAATGAAAAAAGTAGAGGGCATTTCAAATGAGATCATAGGATTTAAAGTTTTCTGTGAAAAAACTTAGGGAGAGTAGAAGTATCTTCTAAACAAAGAATAAAAATGTGTAAAACAAAAATAAATGAAATAAAAAGACAAACCACAAATTAGAAGATATTTATAATCCTTACCGCTAAAAACAGATTATAATTCAGAATATATAAAACTACCATGAATCAATAAGGAAAAGACAAGTAACGCAATAGAAACAAAGGTATCAAGAAAGGGCAAAGGTATCAGGAAACACATGCAAAAGAAGCATGACTTGTTGATAAAATACTTGAAATTTTTCAACTTCACTAAAAGCAAGGACATAAATGTTCAACAATGAAAACACTATTTCGTACTCATTTGGTTGACAAAATGAATAGCCTAGTAATACTATGAAAATAAGCACATTAGAATATGGAAATTTTGGTAAGAGTGCAAATTGGTACCACCATGTTGGTAAACAATTCGGAATTCCCTTGGAAGGGTATTGGTGCACATACCTTAAAACCCAGAACTTACTCTTCTTACATACCTACCTTAAAGTCTCTCAAGTGTATGGAAAAGGAGACATACTAAGGGTATTTACTGTAGCAATGTTTGTGACAGAAAAAAGCACAAACACCCAAGCTTTCTCAATTAGGAAATGTGATGTGGCTTATTCATGCAATGAAATATTGAACAAGAGTGTAATGAATGAATTAAATCTTCACACCATGATGTAAAAATGAAGAAAAAACAAGTTGCCAATTAAAACATATGGCATAATGCTCCCACCCTCAACACACAGACTTATATACATAAGTTTTTAAACCCAAACAATATAGTTATTATGAAAAACATTAAAAGATATAAAACAATTAGAAATAATCTATTACACTTCAGAATAATTAAGGAATAAGAAGAAAAAAGGAATGAAACCAAAAACCTTAGACATTAATATTCCATAGTATTAATGGATGTATTTAAAGATGGAAAAGTGAAGTGAATTTTGCAAAATATTAATAATTTCTTAAATTGACAGTTGATATATTGATATCTCTTATTTTCTGTACATTATTTCTTGTTAATTTGGTATGTCTCATATTTAAAGGATTTTGAAAGGTCTAACCTCTCTTGCCCTTATACCCCCTGCTAGAACTGAATTGTAATGCATTGTACAATTGGATACACAAAGATAACAGAATATTATTCGGAAAAAAAAAAAAAACAGTTGTGAGATCTCAAGTCCTAGCTCTTATACTTGTTGGACACAAAGCCCTTGAGCAAGTCACTCCACAGTTAAGTTCCTCATCTATAAAATGGGGACATAATACTACTAATAATATTAATATCTACTTTAGAATGTTGGCCAAATCAAGTAAAAAGATAAATGTGAAAACATTTAGTAAGCTAAAAGTCAGACATAAACACTGATTTTCGTTATTGCTCTTGTAAGACAGAATTAAATTGCTTGATTGCATCTTTTTATTTCTTCTGCCTGCATTCTGGTGGAGATGTTTATGATTGAAGAAGTGACAAAAATAAATAACAGAATAAAGAAAACTTAAATTAAAAAGGGATATGTAATTTACAAACTATAACTATAACATGATTCTATGTTACATATTTTATACATAATATCTAATATGACATATTAATATAATAGGTATATATATAATATAAAGAAAAATTATCAAGGGCCTATTTATCTTTAAAATTTCAGACAGGCTTAAGATTCTCTCACATATACCTTGCAAAAATTGCCAACTATTGTTACTATGTAACATACAAATCTTTGGAAAATAAACAGAAAACATTTTCTGCATTTAACTTGGTTCTTTTTATTTTTTAATTTGAAATAGTATTGCAAAAACTTTATTTCTGAAATTTTTCAGCTATGATTAGATTTTCATTGTTTATACCTCACAATGCATGCCATGCTGTAACATTTTGAAAATATACATAAATACAAATAAAAAAGTATAATAACCTAAAATTACAATTATGCCTTGTAGTACGTCAGATATAAGTTATGGACCAAAATAAGAGTTGTGATAGAAATTAAAAAAACCAAAAACTCAATTGATTCAACAAGGACTGTTGAAAGAGCAAGGTATTAGCACCACATTCACTTGCTTTACCTCATGTATTTTTCTTCAGATCTCTACTTCCACTGCTTCCTTTTGGCACCCTCTAGGGCAACAACGTCAAAAGGTAGGCATGTAGACTCCAGGGATTCCTATGATGATTCCCTGGGCTGTGGGAAGAAAATACTAGATTGTCCTATTTTTTACCCAAAGCTACAGAAAAGACTGAGCTTTACTTTTATATAATATACAAATTTATTCTGTACCCTCTCTTGGTCTGCATATCAGATGTTCACACATCATGTCAGATTGGCAAAGAAATCTTGCAGAAAGAGCGAGCGTTCTACAACACGGAAGGGTTGGCATTGTGATACTAACATTTTTATTTGCTTTCAACTTACCCAAGCGTCATAGTACTCAAGTGGATTTCCATATCATATTATCTCATTTTAACAAAAGCAGGTCTCACTGCATGACACGGACTTAAAAGGATTACTGCAGAAAACAAAAACGTACAAAAATTTAAAGTAATCCAAAAACACAAGCACAAGCAAACCTCAAGCAGATGGAAACATGAACCCTTCCCTATTTCTAGAACAAGGTCTTTGTGAGCGGCATGAGGAGGTATAAACAATGGACATCTAGCGACATCTGACAAAAATTCAGAAAGTTTCAAAATTATAAAGACTCTCTGAAATAAGGATTTACACCCATATCTTCCCAAGGTATGCATTTTGCTTTGAGATCCTGGTTAGTTACTGTAGAAGAGAGCATGACAGAAAAACATTGTTTTGGTTTTTTTTTGTTTTTGTTTTTGTGGTTTTTTCCCCATTTTTATGGCATCCTTTCTTATTTCTGTTTCTGTGTGTGTTTTATGATGCATATAGTATATGAATCCATGAATCCATAAATGTGGCAATTAATGCCACATTTATTACATAAGTCACAAACTTACATATTGGGTGGGAGGGGTGTAAAGTCAAGAGTTTTATTCTGTATGATCAAAGTTTTTCAAGACAATTACACTTAACCACTCCCCTTGACTTATCTCTTTCCAACTCATCCTGCACACGTCAAAGAGGGTGCTTTTTAAAATCAAAATAAATGAATTATCTGTTGAGTGCCCATCATATGCCAGATGCTGTGGTGATGGGTAGTGAACATTTACTGCCAGGAGGAATAAATGAATTGGCAGTGAGGGAGTGCGAGAGGTGAAGAGATAGATGAGTTTTGGAGTCTCAGTAATTTGCATCTTGGTTCTAGCAATAAGCAAAAAGTGGTCTCAATAACATCAGCATAGTGAAAATTAAATAAATGTTTATTTTTAATCCATTTTAAATTGGGGCATTATTTGGGTTAGACTTGCTGATTTTGGAGTGTAAAATGAAAAATCAATAGAGCAGTCAATAAACATTTATTGGGAACCCACTGTACAGAAGTGGACCCAAAGCACAAGAAGAGTCAGATTTTAAAATATAGATTTAAAGGGCACCTGGGTGGTTCAGTTGGTTAAGCAACTGCCATCAGCTCAGATCTTGATCCCGGAGTGCTGGAATCAAGTCCCACATCGGAATCCCTGCTCAGCAGGGAGTCCACTTCCCCCCAACCCATAACCCTCCCCCCTCTCATGCTCTCTTTCATTCTTTGTCTCTCAAATAAATAAATAAAATCTTTTTAAAATAAAATAAAATATAAATTTAAAATAATATCTTTTTCTTTCTATGTTGCCCTATTCTTTTCTTCCTATTCGCCAGATAAATTGGCTGGTCTGACTCTTAAAACAATAATGCAGTATTTCCTACTTATCCCCTAGTTCACTTTGTTTCTCTTGTTTTGGCCTGCCAACTCATTTATTATTCATTCCATAGTGGTTTAAGAAAGAAGAAAACAAACAGTATCTTCCTGTTATTGAGCTTAAAATCCTGTCATTTAGATGATATTCATTAGAGATAATAAAATTATAACTCAGTCTTATAACTGTCTTGATCTGAAAAGGGGATCTTCCTTAAGTATTCAGAACCATGTCAATGGAAACTTTATTCAGCAATTATGTATTATTTCCTTTAATCTGTTGGTGTTCACTTAACCATTGTCTCAACAAATACAGACTGAGTACTTATTATATGTCTAAACTGCTTAGACATTAGAGACAAAGCAATGAGCAGAAGAAAGCCTCATCCTCATGGTCCCTACCTTCTGGTAAGCAAGCAGACAAATTTTGTCAGGAGATGTAATTGAGAGGTAAGTACTCTTACCATAATTCTCTAAGTTTACTTTCTTCCTTATTTTTAATTGATCTATCTTCCAACCATATTCTGCTTCATGTTTTTCCCATTTTCTATCAATTAACTATTAAAAGATTAGATGATAACAGTTGTAACTATTCCTAATAATATTTGATTTTTATAAACCCTCTTATGCAGTAAAAATGACAAAAGGCAGAAATTTCAGGCACTACTGTCTGTCCCGAGGGATACTAGAATGTATTTGGTTCTTTAAGAGCTGTTTTCCCAGAGCCCTGCAATTCCCAAAAGGTTGGTTGCAGACTGGCCAGTTATTTTAAGAGAATAACCATCGCATGATGGAGTTTGGGTTCCTTGGTCAACAACTCATAAAGTCTGGCAGATTATCATGGAATCTTTCAAATATGGATGATTATACATTTACCTGGTTCTCGTTTTTTTATTTTAGCCAATTACAGGAAAATCACTCAGTGTTACTCAAATATTCAGTGTCCAAATCCATCTGAAAACATAGCATACACTTTTGACTGTTCTTTCTCTTTCATCTGATGCATTTAGGGTTTTATATCAGATCTAACACTTCAACACATCTACTATATTTGACACAGGGACAGAAAGTTGGAGGCTAGCACAGTTTCTACATTTACTCTGAAAAGGTTTATTTATCAGGTGCACCTGAGTGGCTCCATCAGTTAAGTGGCTGCTTTCGGCCACTGTCATGATCTCAGGGTCCTGGGATTGAGCGCCATGTCGGGCTCCTTACTCAGTGGGGAGTCTGCTTCTGCCTCTTCCCTCTGCTCATGCACTCTCTCTCTCTCAAATAAATAAATAAAATCTTTTTTTTTAAAGGTTTATCATCAGAGAAGCCATTAAATCTTAGTATTACAAAAAACACTATTCAATCTTGCTATCCTTCCTATTGCTTAGGTTGAAATCCCAGCCGTATAGCTTACTAGCAGCATGACTTGGGCACATCACTTCCCTCAGCTTCCTCATCTGCACTCTGAGGCAGATAATAGTACCCACCTGTAAGTATTGAATAAACCAGTGCATGTAAAGGGCTATGAAAAGTGCCTGGTCTATAGTATTGTAGTGCATACATTACCTCATTGGCCAGGATGCACAAGCCTTTGAGGGCAAAGGTTTTTATTTGCACTTTTTTCACAGATGTATCTCCAATACTACAACAGGGCCTGGCACAGCGTAGAAGTTTCATAAATATCTTGAATAAATGAATGGCAAAACATAATGCAATTAGACGTGTGGGCAGGTTTATCTAATGTGTGGAGCTGTAAAATGAATTGTGGTTGTGTCTCTCAGATATAACAAGGGCTGCTCAGTGTGACAGAATGGCGCCTGCTTCAGTATGACAGCTGAGCTCCGAAGGCAGAGAGGAAAACAGCAGAAAGAATCGTGTAAAGGCTAAAGGGAAATAGTAGTCTCTCTCCCCAGTTCTTTTAGAACAGTGAAGTAAGTGCCTTGGAATACAGGAAGCAGAGAGACCAGGAGAACTGAATCTAACTCCCCCCTCCCCACTATAGCAAGCCTATGCCTATTCTTGCCAGAAGCCCAGAAAATCGGTGATGACCTAAACTGATTTCCGTTTCCTGCAAGATAATAAGTGTGTCAAGAGAAGGCTTGATGGCAGATCTAGCCCAAGAAAATCATACTGATACACATCAGCACTTTGGTGATGTCCTACCTCCCCTTTGAACACCAAGCTTCTCCACCCACCAGTACCTGTGCTCCTCTGCACCTGTCTAGGGTTCTTTTCTTTGATGAACTCAAGACTCTCCTAAGATCTACCACTCGACACAGTGAAAATCCACCCACCCTGCATCTTACTAGATTGAATTTTCCTCAGCTTTCTGATCCATTCAGAGAATTTCACAAACTACCAGAATAAAGTAGACATGAGTGATAACAAGCTTCTGTTGATTGCAAAGGACTCAGTCACTGATGACTTGGCTCACATCAGTGATGAAAGGCTGGGAGTGAGGTCTGAACACACAGGAGGTACTCTGTGTTAAGGGAGTCCTTCCTGGCCTCTCAAAGCACGCTGCACTGCCAATAATCCGGCCTTCTTAAATCATACCACCCTGCTTCTGAATATAATCAAATCAGGAGAAAATGAAAAAGATGAACCTTACAGTCGGGATATGACCTGGGATAGTTCCGATGAGGTCTGCTGAAGAGCAAAGAGTACAGCACACGTGTTTCAAGTGGACGTGTTAGAAACAATGGTGTACCATCTGAGCAAGTTTGTCCTCCTGTGAAGGGGAAAACATACCACCACATTAGTTTTCTGGGCAGAATTTATATGGAATCTGGTGATGACGAGTTAGTTCTCCCAGTTGCGTTTGTATTGGTGATAGAAAATACAACCAAATTATTTGCTGCAACTCCTAATCCTAAGGGGAAACACTGTTGCTGAGATGTTCATACCCACATCCAGAATGGATTAGGCACATGTGCCTGGAAATACGAACTCTCTCAGCCTAAGACACAATTCTGGCTCAAAGACAGAAAGGCCCAGTAGATGGGAGAATCACCACGACCACTTACTAAAAAGGTCAGACTCACTGGAAACCATTTCTAATCCTCAGAAGAGCCTTGTTAAGTATTTTCATCCCCATTTTCCAGAGGAAGAAATGGTGGCTCCAAAAGTTAACTTACTGCCAACTGAACCCACATCTTACTAGCTCAGTGTAAAGTCACATCATTAACACCCCTCCCACCTAATTCAGATGATATGAGGATAAAGCAAGATAACACCGGTAAAAACACTTGGAAAATTAAACTGCTATATACCCATGAGAAGCATTATTATGTACAAACTTTTCTTGGATGGGAATAGACATTAAAATCTTGGCCATGTGCAAAATTGTTCTTAATTTAGGAAGTTGTTCAACCCTGTTTTTAGCCCCAGGATTCTATGCTTCTATGTATGAGGAGGAAAATGAAATATAGTCATGCAAGAGGCTATTTCTTTAATTTTCTGGATTGTCACATTCATTCAGCATGAAATTTTCTACAGAAAGTCAATTTTGGAAAGTTCCAAACTTAATTAGATCTTGCAGTTGTGATCTTCATTATAATTATCAAATACTGAAGAGCTAATAAAGGATCAACCTCTGGGCTGCAGAATAACCTAATCTATTCATACCTCAGTGACGTCCTGAATTAGAACTGGGGGCTGATGAACTCCAGTGTGCCAGCCAACCAACCATAGTTAGCAAATTGCAA